ACAGAAGTAGATTGCCTGGTCTTCTTTCTGTAAGCGGCTGGTGGGTTTGAACCACCAATCTTTTGGTTAGCAGTCAGATGCCTTAGGCATTGCACCACCATGCTGATGTCTATGGCAATCCAAACTTGAGGTCTTATGGTCTGGGAAGAACTCTAGGAACAGGGATAAAGTGAAAGAGGCCATTGCACATATAGGGGAAGAGGAAGTAAAAAGTAGTCACCATTGAGAATATGTACAAAAAGAACCTGTGCACTTCTGACTGCATGTTGGGAACATGAAATAGACAAGGTAGTATGAACATGGGAATTGAGAGGAAAATGTAGAGGAGAATGTCTGATTTTTTGTGTTGAGTTTAAGTGATGCTGGTGTTGGCAAGGTTTGTATCTGAGGGACAGGCACTTGGCTAGGTAACTCAATAAATGTAGTTGGACAACAACAGATGGTAATGGAAACTATCAGGACCAGTGATCATTTAATGGTATAAACATAGAGGATAGGTACATAGGACAGCATGATAAGGACATGCTGCAAATCACAGTTTAAAAGACAGAAGATTCAAAATACTTTAATGCCTAACTTGGAGAAGTTACAAGAAGCTGTGACCCATTTACACACAATTAAAGAAAATTGAATATATTCATTTTAATTTGGTTGAGGGCTGAAATGACCTAGGGAAAGTATATGCCAATAGAAGTGAAATTGTTATCACAGAATACAGAACCTGGATTTTAGTCATTGAAAAGTGAGCAATAGACCAAATTACATTTTAACCTTGAATTGCTATTAGCTCTTTCTGAGTAAAAGATGTATCAAGGAATATATTGTAACTATGCAGCCTTCCTCTGCTATTGAATTATTCAAATAACAACTCTTCTTAATAAAAGTATAAAAAAATAGTTGTAAACCATGTTTTTCAGACTTAGTGTACTGCCTTATGAAGTATGCTTTATATGCAGAAAAAAAATATTGACTTATAAATACATAATACTGATAAGACTAACACACAGAGGCAATTTCCTTTCAAAATAATAAGCTTACCTGGGTTACTTAACTATCCCTACTGATTTTTATCAGGGAAATAATAGGTTTGCTGCACTCAGCTATATTGATTCAATATGGTTGAATGGGTAGAACATTTCTGTGTATAAATGAAAGTTATTGCAATCAGCTCCTTCAAATTAATTTGGAATTCTTCATATGTTTGTAACTTAAAATAATGTTACTACTTGAATACTTTATATAATATTATTAAGTCAGTCAATACTTTGCTAATTCAGGAGATAATGGTTGAGTTTTAATGTATGTATGAATTAACCAGTTTCCTTTGGAGTTTGCAGAGATAGTTTCTTGGGTGTGTGTGTTTTTTTTTTTTTTTTTTTTTAGTAGCATGTTTGCAGTAGCTAAAATGAGGGTGAGAGGTGGGGACAATTAATATAATTCAATTATAGTTGCACTGGTTTGGTAGGTCAATTGTAACCAAAATGAAGATTATTTGAAATGCATTCTGGATGTGTGCTTTTCCAGATAATCTAATCAATGGTCAAAAGTCAGTGTGACTTTAAGTAGTATATTTATAATAAAAGTTCATAGGATTTATATACAAAGGGGACACATTTATCAAAATTTTTCCACATCATAAGTTATGGCCAGATCATAATATCAATAAATGTCCATCTTGAAGTTTCCACTGCTCAGTGAAGAATGTATTGTGACTAGATCTATAGAATTTTCTTGGAAGTCTTTGAACAACATTGTGAATCCACACTTTGTGTTGTGTAATCTTGTAAGATATCTTAAAAGATACATAGTCGTGGCTATAGAGAAGACTGTTGTTCTACAGGCATCCAAAATTGAAGCTACCAGACATTTTGTCCCTACACACCCTGTAAATCACAGAACAAACATAATTTGCGTTTTATGCATATATTTACATAATGATGTCAAGAGTTCCTAACTCCAACTATGTAAAATAAATGAATTAGTGGAGCCTCTGGTAGCATAAACAAACCCACCAGCCACTCCTCGGAAGGAAGGTTGGGCAATCCTACTTCCGTAGCGATACTGCCTAGGTAACCCAAGGAGGGGTCGCTATTAGTCGGGCTGACTCGACGGCAAATAACAACAACAACAACTGGTAGCATAGTGGCTAAGGCACTTAACTGCTAACCAGAAGGCTGGCGGTTCAAACCCACCAGCCACTCCTCGGAAGGAAGGTAGGGCAATCTACTTCCGTAGTGATACTGCCTCAGAAACCCAAGGAGGGGTCGTTATGAGTCAGGACCGACTCAATGGCACACAACAACAACAACAACAACAACTGCAAAGCCTGGGAGCTCTGGTAGCATAGTGCCTAAGGCACTTGACTGCTAACCAGAAGACTGGTGGTTCAAACCCCCCAGCCACTCCTCAGAAGGAAGGTTGGGCAATCTGCTTCCATAGTGATACCACCTTGGAAACCCAAGGAGAGGTTGCTATGAGTTGGATCTGACTCGACAGCACATAACAACAACAACTGCAAAGCCCATATTCAAACTCAGTAGTCAGGGCACAACAGCCTGAAAATACCTAGCACATCTTAAAGCCAATTAGTTTCATTTCTTCTGGGAAAACAAGGGGTAGACAGAGGCACCTTCTTAGAGAGGAGAACAGAGAACTAGAAGTAAATGCTCAAACATAAAGAAACAGATTACAAATTGTTTTGCCCTGAACTTCTTTGTCTTACTCTCTTTACCAATGAAAATTGAACATATTTACACATAATCCTCCAAAAAATACCAAACTCACTGCCATTGAGTTGATTCCAACTCATAGTAACTCCCATTGGGGTCCGAGGCTGTAAATTGTTACAGAAGTAGATTGCCTCATCTTCCTGCCATGGAGCAGTGGTGGGTTTGAACTGCTGGTGACCTTCTGGTTAGCAGCCAAATGTATTACCCACTATGCCACACATGCAAATACATTCTTGTTTTCTTGTGCTCCACTGAGGGCTGAGTAGCACTCAGTGACCTTGGTTTCTTACTTTAGCTCTACAAAGTGACAGATAGGAAAGCCAGTGCATCTTCCTGAAGTTAAAACTATGATTTTCCTGGCTAAGCTCTGTGCTGCCTGAAGAGCCTTTTCCTCCCTTTACCTACCTTTAGCAATTCTCCTTATCAGACCTCTAAAATAGCATGGTCAAGTACAAATAGCTTAGGCTTTGTAGTCAAGTGGAGCTTGCTTTAAATTTCAAGTTTGCTTGAGTGGTCTTGGTCAAGTTAGTCCCTATCCTGAAGCTGGAAATTCTCATGTGTCCACAGAAAAGAGAGATGTTTCTTCTCATATGGCTGTTGCAAAGATTACATAAAATACCATCTCTTAGTGCCAAAAGCATAGCATATATCCTGTTATTAGTGAATCCAGGTGTTAACCAAGTGAGAAATCTCACTGTGGACTCAGGGTAGGTACCACTTCCACAGCCTTTGTGACATCTCTTTTTACGTTATACTTGCTTTTTATGTCCTGCAACCAAATGCAACCACTGCTATGGAGTCCGATTGACTCATAGCGACCCCTCCTTGGGTTTCCGAGGCAGTGGCATTACAGAAGTAGATTGCCCAACCTTCCTTCCAAGGAGTGGCTGGTGGGTGTGAACCACCAGTCTTCTGGGCCTGGCAAATAACAGGCCCTCCTTCAATTGAAGGAGCTGTAGTGGTGTAGTGGTGTAGTGGTTAAGGCATTTGGCTGCTAACCAAAAAGCTAGTGCTTTGAACACAGCAGTTGCTGTGTGAAAGATGAGGCAGTCTGCTTCCATAAAGATTTACAGGCTTGGAAAGCCAATGGAGGTTGTTATGAGTGGAAATCATTTCGACGGTAGTGAAATTGGTTTGGATTTTAGTCTCCTTCAATGAGTATTGAGTTGTGGAAGGTAGTAATGACAAACATAGGGAGGTGAAATATGTGGCAGGATTTATGTTACTTAAATTATGGAAACTTAAACTACAAGCAAGCATCTCATCTCCCTCTGTAATGTTATCTGATGAAGGATTTACTTCAGAGTAAAGGGCCCTGGTGGCCCAGTGGTAAAACATGCAGCTACTAACCTAAAGGTCAGTGATCCAAAATCACCAACTGCTCCACAGGAGAAAGATGAGGCAGTCTCCTTCCATAAAGATTTATAGCCTTGGTAACCATATGGGGATTGCTATGAGTCGGAATCTTTCAATGGCAGTGAGTTTTTACTTCAGAGTAGTGGAAAATTTAGATCATTACAGCATTATCTTCAGTTGAAGAAAGTTTTGTTCCCATCCTTTATGTCAATGGCAATGTTGGAACATCAATTTGGGATTAACATTGGAAACAAGAAATGTCTGTAAGCACCATATTAAACTAACTCAGAGGGAAAGCCCTGGGGAACCTCTTTGTATTTCATCTAGATTAGTCTGGCAGTACTCTGGCACAGACTGCTTTTTAAGTGGTGATAGCTCTAGGTATATGGGCATATATCTCAAAAACATTCTTACTATATGTGTCCTAAAAGGCAAAGCTAGTTTATTTATGATAATCTACATCAGCGGTCTCTAAACTGGGATGCAAACTGTTTATGAGGTGTAGAGGACAACTTTTGGCTTGGAAAACAAATATCCAAACTTCCATTTGTTATTTTTTTTAATCTTATCTTTAAAAAATTTCTATTTGCATATGTTTTTATTGTATACTATATAGTAGAAGGGAGCTCTGGTGGCTTAATGCTTAAGGCATATGACTGGTCACCAGAAGGTTGGTGGTTCAAACCCACCAGCCACTCCTCGCAAGGAAGGTTGGGAAATATACTTCCATAGTGATACTACCTTGGAAACTCAAGGAGGGGCCACTATGAGTCGGATCCAATTCAAAGACAGTAGATATATAGTAGAACATGTGTATAATTTGTGAGAGCACAAATATAAATGCAGGGTTGAATTTTTTAAATAAATGTAAAGATGGCTGGAGTGACTGTTCTAACTTTCCTTGCCCAGACTGCCGTTTTGTACTTGCTACCCGACGCTAACTTCAGCATGCTCAAAAGGAAGCAGAGTTCCAGGGTGGAAGCCCAGCCGGTTACTGACTTTGGCCCTGATGAATCTCTGTCAGACAACGCTGACATACTCTGGATTAACAAGCCAGTGAGTGTCTTTCTTTCTTTTCAATGTATGGAGAAGCATGTGCTGATTCAAGGGAAATTTGATTAATATAATTTTCAAAAATCAATGAACTTTGGTTTGGAAATACCTTTTGGAGCTACAGTAGAATATGGATGAGTCTTGAGGTCTGCAAGTTGAAAAATCAAATGAAATAATGAGGTATCTCTGTGAGTTGGTCTCATAGGAAGACATGCAAGGGAGTCTCGTTCCTCCTCTCCTTCCTGTGAACACACTGTCCTCAAAGCCACCCAGTGTAGACATGATACCACTTTTCAGGCTCATCTAAAGCTGGCGTCTGAGATGACTAACCAATTCTCTCTTTTTTAAAAAAATATATATTGTGATTTAGGTGAAAGTTTACAGAGCAAATTCATTTTCCATACAGCAGTTCATACACATTTTGTTTCATGACATTGACTGCAATTCCCCAAAATGTAGCATCTCTCTTCCCACTCCTTGTCATTACCTCTTCCCTGTTTCCTTCTTTCCTATGTATTCCTTCCCCTGAGCTATTTCCCTGTGCAAACACTGCCCTTCCGTTCTACCTGCAATTGATCACTCTAACAAGTGTATCTACCTTATGTAAATATTCACCCTGTATGCCTGTCTATTGTTTGGCTGGAAGCCAAGGGAGTGAGTTCAGTTCAAGACCTGAAGGGTAACTTAGGGCCATAGTCTTGGGGGTCTCACAGGCTCTATCACACCAGTAAACTTGGTCTTTTTTTTTTTTTTTTTTAAGATCTTTAGTTTTGTTCCACATTCTTCTCCTACTCTATCCAGGATCTCCTGCACTGATTCCTTTCTGAGTGGTTGAGAGTGTTAGCTGGGCACTGTCTAGTTCTTCTGGTCTCTTAGTCATATAGACTGAGGATCATACAGTCTACTAGTCCGTTGGTATAGTTGTTTTCACGCATCTTTGGTTTTCTTCATCCTTCCTTGGTCTGGATGAGGAGAGACCCATTGTTGCTCCTTGCTGGCTGCTTGCCAGCTTTTAAGACCTCAATTGCTACTCACCAAAGTAGGAGATAGAACAATGTTGTTGTGGAGTATGTTATGCCAATTGAGCTTGATGTCCCCTGAGACCATGGTCTAAAGCCCACAGGCCCAACTACTCACTCCCTCCAGGGAAGCCACCACAACTTTGTCCCTTGTCAGTTCTACTATACACTTGGACATTCTTATAGCACATACAAATACACATGTAGAAACATTGTGTGCCATCCCTGTACATGGTTATGGGCACACTTCCCACTGCCTAGACATACTTGATCATTCAGCCTCTCTACCATCTATCCACCTGTAGATTAATGCTTACCATCACTGACAAAGCAGTACTGTATAAGAAAAAGGGTTCATCTTTGTTGTCTGTACCTCTAGTGTCTCTCTCCATGTCTTCCTCTTGCCACCATGTTATTATTCACTTACTTTTGGCACATTGCCCTTACCTTCACCCAAATCAATACTTGTTTCTGCTTATCTAGCAGTGTTCCCTCCCCTCCCCTCTTATTCCTGGTAACCAACAAATAAACTTTCCTTTCATATATAAACCTTTCCTTAACTTTTTATAATAGTGGAGTGATACAGTATTTGTCCTTCTGTGATTGACTTATTTCACTCATCATAATATCGTCCACGTTCACCCATGTTATGTGGTGTTTCACAGATTCTATATTATTATTTAGGATTGCATAGTACTCCATTGTGTGCATGTGCCATAGTTTGGTTATCCATTCTTCTGTTGATGGGCACCTAGGTTGTTTCCACACCTTTGCTATTGTAAATTGTGGTTAACATAGGTGTGCATATATCTGTTCTTGTCCTGGCTCTCACTTCTTTAGGATATATACCCAATAATGAAATTACTGGATTGAATGATATTTCTCATTACAACTTTTTAAGGAATTGTCATTCTGCTTTTCACAGTGGTGGTATCATTTTATAGTCCCACCAACAGTGTATGAGAGGCCCAATCTCTGCACATCCTTGCCAGCATTTGTTATTTTCTCTCTTGTTGAACTTCGCTGTTAGTGCTGGAGTAAAATGGTATCTCACTGTTGTTTTGATTTGCATCTCTCTAATGGCTACTACTCGGAAGGAAGGTAGGGCAATCTACTTCCATAGTGATACTGTCTTGGAAACCCAAGGAGGGGTCACTATGAGTCTGACTCGATGGCACGTAGCCAAAATAACAACAAAATAACAACAAATGGCTAATGATTGAGAACATTTCTTCATGTGTTTGTTCACCCCCTGAATATTTTCTTTGATGAAGAGAGTCCATTCATGTCTTCTTCCCACTTTTTAAAATTAGATTGTCTTTTTCTTGTTGAGGTGTTGCAGTTTTCTGTACATTTTAGAGTTCAGTCCCTTGTCAGGTATGTCATTGCTGAATATATTTTCCCCAATCTGTAGGTTCTATTTTCCCTCTTTTGGAGAAATCTTTTGAAGCACATATAAAATTTAAATTTTCAGAAAGTCCCAATCATCTACTTTATCTTCTGCTGTTTGTGCATTTTGGGTTATGCTTGATGGTCTATTCGTGCTATAAATTGGGGTCCCTAAATTTGCTCCTATTTTTTCCTTGAGGATCTTTGTAGTTTTAGGTTTCATATTTAAGTCTTTGATACATCTGGAGTTAGTTTTTGTGTATAGTGTGAGATATGGATCTTGTTTCATTTTCCTGCGAATAGATAACTGATTTTGCTAGCACAATTTGTTACAGAGACTATCTTTTCCCCCATTTGATGGATTTTGGCCCTTTGTCAAAGATCAGCTGACCATAGGTCAATGAATCTTTTCTGGGTTCTCATTTCTATTCTGCTGGTCTATGTGTCTCTCATTGTTCCAGCAGCAGGCTTTGTTGTTGTTGTTATTGTTGTTGTTTTTAAGAACAAATCCTGCCTTTTATTTTATCATTCTTTTTTAAATTTTATTTTATTGTTATTTGGGTGAAAACTTACAAAGCAAATTCATCTTCCATACAGCAGTTCACATACACTTTGCCTCATGACATTGATTGCAATCTCTTACAATGCAACAGCTCTCCTCCCACTTCCTACCCATAGTTTCCTCTTCCCTGTGTCTTTCCCTCTCATGTACTCCTGCCCCCTGAGCTATTTCCCTGTGCATGCACAGCCTTTCTATTCTCTCACAACTGATCTCTCCAAGGAATGTATCTACCTAATGAAAATATTCTGCTCATATGCCTGTCTTTTGTTTGGCTGGAAGCTACAGTAGTGGGTTCAATTCCAGACCTGAAGGGCAGCTAGGGACTACAGTCTCAGGCTCTATCAGACCAGCAAAACTGGTCCTTTTTTTAAAATGATTTTGAGTTTTGTTCCACATTATTCTCCCACTCTATCTAGAATCTCCTTCAAAGATCCCCCTCCAAGTGGTTGACAGTGGTAGCTTGTCACCACCTAGTTCTTCTGATCCTATAGTCATATAGGCTGAGGATCTCATGGTGTACCAGTCCTTTGGACTAATTGTTTCCATGCGTCTTTGATTTTCTTAATTCTCCTTTGCTCTGGATGAGAGGAGACCCATCATTGCATCTAGATGCCCTCTTCCAAGCTTTTAAGATCCAGTCACTAATCACCAAAGTAGGACATGGAACAATGTTTTTGTGTAGTATGTTATGTCAATTGAGCTTGATGTCCCCTGCAACCACGGTCCCTAGCCCACAGGCCGAGCTACTTGCTCCATCTGGGTAGCTGGCTGTGGCGAAGAAGTAACTACAATCTTGTCCCTTGTCAGCTTGACTATATACCTAGAAATTCTTACACAACATACAAATACATGTGTAGAAACATTGTCTGCCAACCCTATACATGATCATGGCCACAGTCCTCCCTGCATAGACATACCTAATCGTTCAGAATACCCAGGCTGTTTTGACAACTGTGGTTGTATAGTAGGTTTTGAGATCCGGGAGTGTGAGACCTCCTACTTTGTTCTTCTTCTTCAATAGTGCTTTGCTTATCCGAGGTCTCTTTTCTTTCTATAGAAAATTAGTGATTGGTTTCTCCATATCATTAAAGTATGTTGATGGGATATGGATTGAGACTACATTGAATGTATAGATTGCTTTGGATGATATTGGCATTTTCACAGTGTTCAATATTCCTATCCACAAGCATGGTATGCTCTTCCATTTATGTAGATCTCTTATAGTTTCTTGAAGTGGTTTTTTGGAGTTTTCTTTGTATAAATCTTTTGTGTCCCTGGTAAAATTTATTCCCAAGGGTTTTTTTTTTTTTTTTTGTAGCTACTGTAAATGGTATTGATTTCCTTATTTCCTTTTCAGCAATCTTTGCTGGTATAGAGGACTCCAACAGATTTTTGTATGTTAATCTAGTATCCTGCCACAATGCTAAATCTCTCAATTAGTTCCACTAGTTTTCTTGCTGAGTCTCTTGGGTTTTCTATGTATAGGGTCATATCATATCAGCCAATAGGGGTAGTTTGACTTCTTCCTTACCAATTTGGCTGCCTTTGATTTCCCTTCTTTATCTTATTGTCCTGGCTAGGATTTCCAATACAATGTTGAATTGAAGTGGTGATAGGGTCATCCTTGTCTGGTTCCTATTTTCAATGGGAATTGTTTAGTTTCTCTCCATTGAGAATAATGTTGGCTGTTGGTTTTGTATAAATGCCCATTATTATGATGAGGAATTTTCCTTGTATTCCTGTTTTTCTGAGAGTTTTTATCAGAAATGAGTGTTGAATTTTATCAAATGTCTTTTCTGCATCAATTGATAGGATCATGTGGTTCTTTTCCTTTATTTTACTTATGTGATAGATTATGTTGTTTTTCTAATGTTGAATTGTCCTTGCATACCTGATATGAACCCCACTTGTTTGTAATGCATTATTTTTTTGATATATTGTTGGAGTCTAATAGGTAGAACTTTGTTGAATATTTTTTCATGTATATTCATGAGGGATATTGAACTGTAGTTGTCCTTTTGAGTGATGTCTTT